TTCTCCATGTTTCCCTCTCGGTGTCTGTGGCCTTGCTCTAATAGTTGTGTGTATAAGCAAAGCGTTTCCCAACAACGCCTGGTATCATCTGACAGGTTACTCTTTGGAAAAGGTGTGGTCCCTCACAGCGTCCTTGGAATGTGCAGGTATGTTCTGTATGTAGCCGAGTGAAACCTCCCTCTGGTGATGTCCCTTCTCCTGCATCCCGTGTGCTCACTTTAACAAAGCGGCATCTCCACTCACAGTACCGCTGGGTGCCTGCACAGCATTTTCTGTTGTTTCCCTTAACTAGCGTTGCCAACTGCTGTGGGATACAGTGGGCAGGCAGCAATACTTGGGCCTTACCCACTTTTATTTTCAGTTTTTGTGTAGCTTGGGGTTCATCTTTAAGAAATGACTGTAAGTAATAAGGGATTCTTATCCATGAGGCTCCTTGGAATAAAGCTGTGTAGGAGGGAAGGGATGACAGTAACCTCTCAGGACATAGAAGGAAGGTAGAATGAAGAGGATTAACTTTTCTTGCTGCCACCATGACTCGGTAAAGGACTTTTTTTTTTTTTTTTTCCCTCCTTTTTCCTCTCTTTTTTTCTTATAAACGTTTACAGAGGTGAAGATCCTACTTTTCATTAAACTGCTGACAGTGATTCATTCTAGAATAAATCCTTTCATGCTGTAATTTGAGTTTAATACTGTCGCTGCTGCTGCTGCTGCTTGGACCCATGATCTCGCAAAGCGCTTGTGATAACCGTTTTGCAAAATCCTTCACCACACTGCGACAGCGTTGTGTTGTGCCATTGGGTTGTTTTGTTTGTTGGTGGGGTTTTTATTTGTTTGTTTTCTTCTGAGTGCAAGGGCAGTATAAATCTGAGGTAAGGAAGCGGTACAAGCAGCAAACAATTGCTACTGATGACAATAAAATAACCACCAAAGAGCCTGAAAGCTATAAATAGGACATTACACAATATAAATTAGATAATGGGAGGCTAGGGAGTGTAAAATACCGAAAGTAGGGAGCTCATGGTGTTTCGTAACTCACAAAAGATGTTTTATGCTCTTAGATATGCCATCTTGAAGATCCAAGGGTGTCTGACATGATTCAGACCTTTTCTTTTAAGACCTATCCTTTCTGTGGGACAGGTAGCGGTTTTTATACTTCCAGCATAATTTCTGGTTCTCTCAGTGTAGCCTGATGAAGTATGTTTCTCCTCTAAAAACGTTTCGTGTGATGTGAGTAGTTGGTGCTATTACACATCTGCTGAGACCACAGTGACGGCCTCTCTAAATTGCAAAATGAAAATTTGCTGAAGTGCATTGTTGGAAACGTTTCCACAGAAAAGCCACTTTGAGCAAACTCACATAGATGCGTAGTCAGTTCCTGTTGTGTTTCCTTACAGGCCACACTTCCTTTTTAAAGCACTGAAAATGGAAGAACCTTGGCTGCAGAGCTAGTTAAAAGGACTTTTTTTTCTTTTTTTTTTTTTTTTTCTACAAGAAAGCTCTGACCAGGATGGGTTTTATGGAGGCAGACACAGACACATTTGGTGCAAATTAAAATGCGATCAGCTGAAGATTTCTTAAGGTGGTATCAGACGTGCTCAGTTCACTTGATTCAAACTAAGAAGCTGGATGTGAGCTATCCCATCGACACAAACAGCCCTTTAAAACACAAGTGCACTGCCTTAAAGCTCTTCTGAAAGAAACTGTTTTGTTAGAGAAACAATACTGTAAAAATCTTCCCTTCTCTATTCTTGCTCATTTTAAACGGATATTATTTCTTATACCAAGCTGATGAAGTGAAGGGAAAGACTGTAACTTCTGAACTATGTTATTGGTAACTGCATTACACAGTATTCTCTGAGGAATTGCTCTGTGGCACTAAGGACCCCAGTAAAATTCCAAGAGGTGAGAATAAAGCCTTCTCCGAGTCTAGTTTTATGATGTTGACTGTGTCCGGGCCAGTCTGCTTCTTGTGTTTCATTCCCTCTTTCTGCAGTGGAAAAATTGATGCAGTTGGTCTTTTTTTTTAATAAGGAAATGGACCTGAAACCATCTGATGGGAATACCGTTGAGGTCACATAGTTGGGGAGAAAATAAAGAGCCTGTTTAAATACACTTCTTGTCCAATTGTGAGTCGTTTCAGGAATCCTAGAAAACTGTATCCAGACAGACTCAGGCTTAAGCTCAAGTGGCTAAAGGTTGGCTGCTGTGGTACATAGGCTGCAGTCAGAGGGTGAAGGCTGAGTGTCTTCTCCAGGAGCAGCCCAGCCTCTTAGCATGCTCCTTCATAACGCTGTGCGTAGGGTAAGCTCCCTAGACAGCCCTTCTATTTTAAGTTTTTTTCCTTTGTGCGATATTAGAGCTTTGGATTTCTGTTTGCATGATAGCTCAGCTTTTGCTTGGACAGTGATACCCAACTATCATTTAACCTTCCAGCCTTCAAAAGATTTGCCTAAATTTATCATCTTTCGGTAGGAGGTCTCTCTTTCTTTCATGCTTCTCAGGTTTCAAAGGGATTGTCCCACTTCAAAGATCTCTTTTGAAACTGCATAATTATTATGGGTTATACTTATTGCTGCTTTTAACTATTTTCTAGCTCTAAAGGTTTTGGGGCTATGTCTTTGCTACTACAGTAAGGCCCAGAGCCTTCCTATGTAGGAATTAGTGTTTCTTTATAAATGTAACTTTAGAGTCAGTATTTTAAGAGTAAAAACACAATTGTGTTTGAATCCTGTGGGAAAGAACCCGATACCTTTAGTTATATTAACTTTCAGTTCTCGGCACTGATCGTTTGGAAAAAAAGGCATCAAAATCTGAACCTCAGGTGCATATATTTGTCAGAAATGGACACTCTCATAACTTTGCCATGTGTTATTTCTACGTGGATTCTAGGAGATATTAATGGGAGGTTTAAAGTGTCCTTAGGCCCCGGTGCTTCTGTGTTTCTCTCATCTAAAGTTGCCCAAAGGTTAATTTACCTGGGCTTCTCTCCTGAAAATCTTTTTGGCAGATTTGTGCTCCAATCATTGCTCCATCTTCAGCAGTTGTGGTGTCTTAATTTATCTCTGTATGTAGCCACGATATCATGGGATAAAGATTTTGTAAGAGGCATATGTACTTTCTCTGTGTATTTCATAAAGATGATCACGATCAGTTATTTTTCAGGCTTTTGAAAGAATTTTGCACTTTTATTGTAGCATTTGGTATCTTGCAAGTGAAGTTTTATCCTTGTTCTCTGGATGTGTGTCAGCAGTCCCTGCAGGGTTATGGAGTATTGTGATAGAAGGGAATACATCCCTTGTAATCAGCCCTGGCTACTACAGAGTGCGCTGCCATCCCTTGAAATCAATATTAGGATGAATTGATGGTGGTATAAGAGAGACTAGACTTTAACCTCAACAGTTTAAACTTTGAGGAAGATAATCAAAGGGAAATATAGTAGTGAAATCTTATTTTCTTTCTATCTGACTTCAACCAAAGATCTGCAAAATCTCTGCTTGATTTGTTTGAATGTTTGTGGGTTGCTCTAACCCGGCATCTATTAATCACTTAAGAATTCCCAAGCTGTCCTCTATAACCACCACTATTTTTTTGACTTGGTTTATTCTTCTCATCTTATTCTTTTTCGCCCTTCTCAAGCCTAAACACTGCACTGCTACACTGTAAAAGGTGCAAAAATTTACATTAGGGTGGTAAATGTATTTGTCCTTCTAGAACACACTCTACTGCAGCACGAGTACCTTGTAGTGTAGAAATTGCCATAGTAACTACTCATTTCTTATTGATTAGATGGATAAAAATTCTCATAATATACAAGCAGAGTAACTTGCTGGCATATGGCTTCAGGCTACCCCTGTGGCAACTTACTTAGGCATTCTCTTCTTTTTCTGCATGTAAGAGGGTTTTTTTAAATGAATTAGTATTCCTTGGGTTAGACCACAAAATAGTCTTTTATTTTCTGCCACAACAGAGCTGAACTTTTAAGTTAAAGTTGATATGCAGCTCGCAAGGTAGAACCATAGACTGGTTTGGGTTGGAAGGGGCCTTAAAGATCATCTAGTCTAACCCCCTGCCCCAGGCAGGGCCACCTTCCACTAGCCCAGGTTGCCCAAAGCCCCGTCCAACCTGGCCTTGAGCCCTGCCAGGGAGGGGGCAGCCACAGCTTCTCTGGGCAACCTGTGCCAGGGCCTCATCCCCCTCACAGGGAAGAATCTCTCATCTAAATCTCCCCTCTTTCAGTTTAAACCCATTACCCTCATCCTATCCCTACACTCCCTGATAAAGAGTTCCTCTCCCTCTTTCCTGTAGCGCCTTTAAATACTAGAAGGCTACTACAAGGTCATATTGGTTTGTCACTGAACCAGGACAACCAGATTTCATCTCAACATGAAATCTGAAAGGAAAGAAGAGGGAGTTCTCCCCCTCACTCAGGGAGAAGGCTAACCACTTCCCAGAGCTGACCTCTAATGGCTAAAAGAGAGTCTTATACTTTGACAGTTGTGATAAATCTGTTTGGAAGGTGCTTAAAATATTATAATTGCTTGCATAAAAAATAAGTCCTGTTGTTATGTTTCTGTAGTAATACTATAGACACAATAAAGAACTTCAGCAGTGGCACTGTGAATGCTTACCGAAAGCAGGATTAGACCTATGGTGAGTTATAGTGTCTGACAGCTGTCTTGGTTCATGTACTGCAGTCGCTGAGCGTACTATTGTCTCGTGCAATGCTGAAAGATGCTCCAACAAGGCTGCTACCAAGTTTCTTGTGAAAGACAAGCTTTTTGTGAATTCTATCAGGGGACTGAAATCGTGAAGCACTTTAGGCGGGATGCCGGATGAAATTAAGCCCAACACATTCTTCAAATGTGAAGCATCAGTTTATTCAGAATAATGTAAAATGAAAGAATAGCAGCACTCAATCTTTTTTTTTTTTTTTTTTTTTTTCCCACTGTAAATCTATTCTAACACTATTCTGGAGTCTTCTAAGAGGCTGAGGTGTTAGCTGTGATTATATCTGTTCTGTATGACTATTTCAGGGTACTATTAGTTAGATATACAGGAGACAAGATTTTTAGAGCAATTTTGAGTTCAGATCATCCAAGCTGCTATTATAGATTATATCCATGCAAGCCTGTTTGGAGGCCTTTCCCACCTCCCAGAATTAAAAACGCTGGCTTAGGGCATCACACTTCCATTATACCACCCTTCAACTCCCTTTCCCTTACCTACAGTCTGACAGCCTCATTTCAAACTTTGTATGGCTTTAAGATTGTTTGAAGGAGGTATTAATTCATAAGGGCTACAAAAAATGATGCTGCTGTTTCAAAAAGTCGGAACGGTACAGCAACACTACTCGGGGAAAACATCCTTATCTCTGTGGTAGGCTACAAACAAATGGAGGAAACTTCTTGGCAGCTGTAGATACTTTCTGTCCTTAACAGGAAGAAATAGGCTTGGCTCTTCTTAATCTTCTATTGGCCTGAGTTCTTGTGTGCTTTTTGTGAAGACTTTCACAGGCAGCAGTAGGAAGTTTAGTGTTCACCAGCTTTTGTCTGTGTACTGAGATCTGGAAGATGAGCCCAGAAAGCAGCCAGAAGTGTAGACAAAGAGAGAACAGCAGTGTGTGGCTGATGAGGTAAGAGTTTAGGTGGATAAATTAAGTTTTTTATATTGTTACATCACTTTCCCTCCTACACCTTTAACCCAATCGAAAGGGAAGAGTCAGGACCCAAATGAGCCCAAACTGGGAAAACTTTGTATGAGCTTTTTAGGGTCACCTGCAAGACAGACTTGGGATGACTGGAATTGCCGTGTTAGCAGCTTGCTGGAGGTCACTGAAGTGGAGCTGTCTTACCAAGAACTCTTCCCATGCTGGCTCCGAAGGGCAAGGGAAGGTTTTCAGAATGCAGGTTGTGCATGGTTTTCTCAGTCATTAGTTTCTGTTCCATTAGGGGTCTGTATCACTGTATTTCCCTGCTGGTGCAGTGACCAATCGTGGGCAAACATCTTCGCCACTTCTGCCATCATGACCCCTTTTTATTGCCTCACCATTGCGTACTAGGAATAACCCATTTTCCTTGCTCTCACAAGGAAGGGAAGGCTTCCTTCCTCACAGAAAAGCCTGGAAAAAGATGGAGAATTAAACCCAAAGACCAGGGGGACAAGGACTCCAATCCGGTGATTTCAAGACTTGCCTATTTTCTATTGACACAGAACCAGAGAAAGAGTCTTGCTCACTTTTAGATGCTGGTACTCTGTTCTAATGCTCCGAAAACTTGGAGGGGGAAATAATGATTGGGTAGGTTTCATTCAACTGAGGAAACCTGCATGGAAAGAATACATTCCAGGGAACTTTATACTTTTTTTTTTTTTTTTAATTGTGTAGAGAGTATGGTATGCTTAGTATTTAGAGTCCTAAACTTTAAGATATTTTGTAATGTTTTAGAGAGATCTGCAGAGTGCTTTCATCAGCAATCTCCCATGCTAACAGAAAAAAAAAGCTGTGTGTATTAGGTATTGCCAGGTGTGTATGGGTATCTAAATGCATATAATTTGTGTCCATCTGTAAAACGCATCCTGTGCATGGATTATTAAACACACCCACCCTGGGATTATGCTGTGACTTGCAGACTTGGAGGCAAGGGTTCTGAATTAAGAAGAACCTATCCAGAATAGAGTGGAGTTTACTGCAGTTGCTGTGGGTTTTCAAAGGAATGGCTGCAGTCAGAATCGGGCTGAAGTAATTAATTTACGAAGGGTGGAAAGGAAAAGCAGCATGCGGAAGATGTAATTAATGGGAACATATAACAGTCAGCTCTCACATAATAAATTGGCAGCTATGCCTGAGGTAACTGCCTTTTATTTGTAAAATACAGTTGGAATTTTCTAAAAAGCAATTGCACATTTTTCTTCCATTTTCACATGGTCCCAGAGAACACAGTACAGTACAAATACCAATGGGAATGCAATAAAATCATGGTGGTTGGGTGGTGTGGTTTTTGGTGTGGGTTGTTTTTTTTTTCAGTCTCAGGGCTATGATCTTATTTGACCCAATGTCCAAAGGACAAGAGGAATAGATTTTTAGTTCACATTTTAGTTAGGTTTAATATGGAATAATCTTAGACAAGGCAGGAACAACCAGAATAAATAACAGTAAATGGCTGGATATCTGTTTGCAGAACAGATTTAGTGATGTAATTCTCCTGACTTGAGTAAATAATGGTTAAGATAAATGTTCTGAAATTCTTCCATTTTGAAGGCTTGAATTCTCCCCGTCTGAAAGTTTACTGCAGCTTTTCCTGAAGAGCAAGCATGACATCAGTTGTTCTTTAGATACACCACTGATGCTGGTGGATATTCAAGAAAATGCATTCTACCACTTGCCTAGTGCAAAGCTCTGGAAGGCTGTGGGATGAGACAAAGGCTCTCCACACCCAGCGGAGTCGGGACAGCCTGCTGGAAAACCAGTGGTTTAGTCCTTCCTCCCAAAAAAAAAAAAAAAAAAAAAAAAAAAAAAAATTGCAGGAGGAAGGTGAGGTAGGGCTTTCAAACTGGGTTTTGCTGCTGTGACTAAACAGACAAGGTACTAGAATTCTTAGTTGCCATTTCCAGGCTTCTCAGTGAAGCAGTGGGAACTGCAGGTTGTTCCTGCTGCTACCTGGCAGGTGGGATTCCCCTCTGCACTCAGGTGGGGGGGTAGAGTACCCATCATTTAGGTGCTTTGTCTGTTTGGATTTTCTTTTGGTTTTAAGCAATCTGTTTGTTGTCACCCTTGATAATGGGGAGAGAAGGGGAAGTCGAAATCTATTCTATTGTAAGGGTGAGGAAGGATCTAGCTCATTTTGTCCGTGAGTAAACGGGGATGGGATCTAGTAGTAACAACCCAGCATCCGAGTTTTTCTCACTTGTAAATGTGATCAGAAACTCTGTTTAAAATGGAACAGCCTGAAGACCAGGAAATATAGTTCTGTGTAAAATATTCCTGCTGTAACTAGTCTTTATTGCTGACCCCGGGGGATCTTGCATTTGCTGCAGGCTTTGCCTGGTAGGCAGCAAAAAAAAAAAAAAAAAAAATCCTGCAATTTTTGCGCTGATCAATTTAGAATGATGTTCTAGCAAGCTCGGTACACTCCAAATTAATTAGCAAGGATCCTTTTAACAGGATAATTACTGTATCAGCAAGTGGTAAACTCGAAATGAATGTGAGTAGTCCTGGCTTGCATCAACAAGGAAGAGCTGCGTTGTGGTTCTACCGACCGAGCCTGAATTCACCCTCATGTGAAAGGTTTTAGAGAGCGCAGCTGGTCAGCAGCAGCGCTCTCCAGCTTCTTTACCTCTAGACGTGAATTCAAATCCCACATGAATTGGCATTCCACTCTCCATATGTCTACCTCGCAGTGCCATAGCAAACGATTGGCTTTTCAAAATATCTGCCTGGAAAAAGGCCCAACATAAGAAGAGAAGGAGGTGTTGCACGTTATTACTACAGTGTAAATGGTAGAAAGGGCTACGAAGGATATGAGGCTCCCTTCTTGATGGCTGTGCATTTTCTGCTGTCATAATGGAAGGGCCCGATGCTGCATAAAACAGTAACAGCTCACAAGTATAAATACAGGTTCACATGTTTGGGGGTTGGAATTTTTCAATCGGTTCAGCTTTCAAAGAATAAACACGTCACTGCCTATCAGGCTATGGGTAAATGAGCCTATGAGCGCCGCAGTGGTGACAGAAACATTTTATTCATTCCCAACGCCAGATTCTGTCTTTAGATAGCTGAGGGCTTAGAAAATAAGGTTTAACTGGGAATTTTTAATGAGGGAAATTACCTTAATTAGGTTAGTTTATATTTGCTAGATTTTCTATATGCTTTGCTGCTCTCTTTTAAAATGGATACAGAACTTTGTAAAAGCATCTGCCGTATTCTGTGAGAACGTAATTTTTCGGCAGACTTTCAAAAAAATCACTTATTTTCAGCCTCTATAAGATAAGCCCAGAAAAGTCAGTGGTCTTACACTAATCTAAAGAGGGAGAAATTTATCAGGCCCTCTGTTCGCTTCAAATGTGAAAGCAGTAAATTAATAATTATTAGCCACTTCTTAAAAATGGATCTTGATGCTCAACAGACCAATCTCTCAAGTTATTTCATGGGACCTTGTGGTGCTCTATAAAATTTGAAGCACATGGCTGAATCCTTCCGTCTAGATTGTTTTGTCAAACTTGAGCAGTGCCATTTTCTTTTTAGTTAGATTGTATGCCCAAGTCAGGCCACTTTTAAAAATCATATAAAATGGAGACATTAAAAAAACTTGTCTCAATTGCAAGCACAGTGGGGGAAAAAAAAAAAAAAAAAGTCTTTGCAAATATTTTGGGGCTGGGTTTTTTTGTGTGTGTTCTAACTGGTATAAATAAAGGCAAGTACCTCTGTAGAAAATGCCTGTGACCAATACAGTCGTATTCTATTGATTTGTCGGGCTGCTTTTTATTTATTTATTTGTAAGGTTTAAGTTATTCAGACTGTGCAGGTCCTAAGAGACAGTCTTGTGTATGCAGTTTCATGGTGGTGCATAGTTTTTAACTAAATCCAGCAAAGGATGAGATAACATTTGAAGATTTTCTTAAAAAATCTTGAATGAAAAATGTTTAGATGTCACAGTAACAGTAGAAATCTGTCATCCCCCTTCATTTGCATGGCTGCACAGTTGTTGCTGCTGAAGTCGCTCCCATACACAGTGAACGTGCTGTTCATCACATTCTAGTTATGGCCCAACCATTCAAGTAGAGCTAAATGCTTCTGTATTTCCCATAATGGAGAGGCTTGTCCTTCTGTTTTAATATACGGAAGTGTGTATGTTAGCACAGAGCCACCAAAGACTTAGAACCAACTTGGTTAGTGTGCCAAACCCTTTCTGGCTACTACAAACTACGTCTACAAAAATCCCTGTGGTAATATAATAGGGAACTAGTCAAAACCCACCATACAAATGGCTAAAAAAAAAATGTCCCACTTCTATGAATTTGCTTCAGAAATTTCCCCTATAACTTAGAAAAAATGACGGATCTCTTGGTGGAAGAGATGACTCAGGCACTCAAGGTATGCTTGGCCACGGAAACGGGCTAAGCCCTTCTGAGGAAGCTGTGGGAAATGCAACCTCTTTCAAGTCAGTACCTGTGCTCCCTGATCTTCTGATGGAGCTTGGGCTTCCTCTTTTGGGGGAAAAGCAACAAACTCACTCATTTCGGTATCGTGGTCAGCGGTAGCATGAGTACGAGCTTCGTAAGGCTCACACGGGCAACAGCTGACTCCTCCTTTCCTGCTCTTCTGCAGGGTGGTAGCACGGAAGTCTAGTGTTATCACTGCCAAACGGTACAATTGTAGAGTCACAACTAAGATATTCTTAGCTGTAAAAAACACCAGCATCTGATTGAATATCCTGAAGTGGCCCATCAGGATTGACCGCACGATGAAGAAGGGACCATCCTGTATGAAAAGGCTGACCCCGATGTTCCACAGTTCCGCGCTGTACCTGCAAAGCAGGAGGCTGGGGATCCGCCTGCTTGATGCGGCTGGTTTGCAGCCAATATGCTGTACTGGAAACAAAACACAGTTATGTTATAATAACTTTCAAAAACTGAGCCAGGTTTGGACTAAAGGGCGGTTGTAATCCAGGGTACCCTGGATTATAAATGCATTCAGGTGCGAACAGTTGCAACATAAAGCACTTACAAATTCTGGGATCTGTTTCAGCAAAACACACAAAGCTCTCAGGTTAAGCAGGCACTGAAGTGGTCGGCCAAACAGGACCAAAAACCGCTTCCCCTTTTCCATCCCACAAAGCTCTCAGAATTTCTATACTTTTAAAACAAGACGTAGGTCACCTACTCTTTCTGTAACATCCCCAGGCATCTTTCTGTTCAATCAACACGCTAGGCTAGTATCTATCTTTAAAAAAAAAAATCACAAAAGACAAACTACTGTGCTGAATGGGAACAATCTGAGGTGTAGCACTTCAGTTTGTTCCAGGCTAAGATCTTACTTTTAAAAGATTAACTAGATACCCATTGACTTTTTTTTCATGTGTCATAGTAAGAACAAATCATGTCAGTGCAGGGCAATATTGAGCATCATGGATAGGAAGGAACTGTGGTCACTGCTCGCTGTGTAAGACTTGAGCCACAGTTACTCATTCTTAAGATTTCTGGGTATGAAATTTCATGCAACTGTGGGAATTTATGTGGATGTGTTGAGTATAAAAGTGGTGATGGGCTGGAATGCTCTTTGTGGCATGGTCACGTAGGAGGATCGTCAGAAGGGCTTGTGTGTGGTAAATACGGCTGATTTACGAAAATGCAGGTAGCTTAACTAACCTGTTCCTCAGGCAGTGGGATTTCATTAGTTTTAAATACAGAGCTACTCGCAATGCAGTAGCAACTGCCAAACATTGCAGCTTACTGAGAAAATTCTGTTGTTTGGGTCAATGCTGGGGGAAAAAAAAAAAAAAAACAAACTCGAGTGGAAAATGAGTTGTAGAATGGAGAAATTTGCTCAATCCATTAGGCAAAGCTTCAGCAGCAGCTAATATTTTAATATGTTTTTGTGCCACTGTGGTTTAACAGTCCTAAATGCAGCGCTCTAGTTCAATAATAAGTGCCTAAAAATTTCTATTTTTGATGTATGAATAAACATTCTGATGCTTGAATAAAAAGTACGATCTGTGCAACTGTACAGAACTGCCTAAAATAAACTGTACCCATAGCACATTTCAGGGCAATGCGTGTTCAGTAAATTAATTTTTACCTGGTAAATGTAATTAAATAAGCAGAAAAGCAATAGCAGAGAGAAAAATGTGCAGTACAAAAGGTTACTTCATTTTAATTAATGCTGTGATTGTTTAAGTACTGTTTGAATTTATTTGGGTGGTGGTGATGTGTATGGGGGTTCTTTTGTTGGTGGGTTTTTTTGGGTTTTGTTTTGATTTTTTTTTTTGTTTTAAACCCGAGTGTTGTGCATCTTTTTAACGGAATATATTTTACCAGTAACAGGAATTCTAGCTGTGATAAATCTGAAATGTGGTTGCATCAGTTTTTTTCAGGAGGTGAGCTGCTGAGCTGAAACGATGAAAGGTTTTCATGACTGCAGTGTTGAAAACAAAGCCTACTGCTGTTCATGAAGAAAAGGCTAATGAAAAATTCCTGAAATAATTTTTTTCATTACTATCCTTTTATTATTTTAGTCAGCGTGTAAACCTAGTCATAAATTTTATAGAAGATGCTCGTGAGGATAACGTATCTTAGACTGGGACAGCTGAGTTGCAAACTTGTAGTGACTGGAGGCCAAACCCTCTGTTGGAACAGATGATTGAGGCAACTTTTGTTATTCTTCCTGGACACAGAGAAGCCCGCCCTTTCGGCCCAGGGATGAATACAAACCTGACTTATCTGAATGGTGGGCCTTTAAGATAAGGGTGAACAGTCCCAACATCATATGGTCCTTCAGGCTCCCTGTAAATAGGTAATTTCTCTTCTGGTAACGTCACCTGTTGCCTGTGCTGTTCCCTGTGATTTACCATCTCCTGCCTCTCCATAGGGTCTAGTAACCTACCCAGACTCAAGCCATATTATAATCCAAGACCAGACCTAAATCAAGTGCCCACGAAGTGCAGTTTAAGGCAGTGACAGCTGCTCCAAAACAATATTGCGATTCTATTTTTGTCTGGAAGTAGAGAGTTTTATCACGGAGGTTAGCCAGAAATCAAGTGATTCCTCAGAAGAAACCACGATTGGCTTTCTTCAAAAACCATTGTCATATGAAATGCTCTCCACCAAAAGTTCTTGGTATAGCCTGTAGTGTGTGTGCAAGACACACCAGCAAAAACTTAAAGCATTTGTTCTCTTTTCTCATCTGCATGCAAGTACTAACCTGCAAGATCAAGTGGAAACTGTAACATACTCCAGGTCCATACGGCAAGAATTGCATTTATGAGAGCGTAATTCTTCCTAGGGGAGGGGAAAAAAGTGGTAACAGTGAAGATGCAGTTTCCTTACGCGATAACAAAAATGTTTCCTGTAGTATTTAGAATGTCATTTAAAGGGTGGTTGAGTGAAACGGGGGTTGATTAATGCATGCTCTTGAGATGTAAGACTGAGGCAAACAAAGACACCTTTTGGTATAGATTTTTTTGCTGTTCAGTCTACATGTTCCAGCTGTGTAATTACACTAAATATCTGATGCTAACATTATAATGCTAAGCATATGGAAATAGACTCTGTGGCTCAAAGAGGAGATATCTTTATCCTTGTAGTGATTACAAATTCCTTGCAAGCCTGAAGCTTCTCTGCCAAGTGGGAAGGACCTCTTCCTGCTGTAAAACATTTTCTTTGATATTTAAAAGAAAAAAAAAAATAGTATGTCTGTACCAGAGGATGAACCTCTTCTGTGATTCCTTTTCTTTATGATGGATGTTCACAGCTCATCTCTCAGTGCTATGAGGGGGAGATGAGCTCACTTTCTCAAGATCACAATGTTGAAAATTCACACCAGACTATGCCATTCCCTTTCTTCTTATCTTTGAACACTTTGTCATTCCATCATGAGGAAAGTACACATGAGATAACCAAAGAAGCAGCTTGGATAATGAATCATCAAAGCAAACTCTAGTTGCTTCCTCGCCAGTCTTAAGCAGTTCATTAACCTGAAGGGACTTACTGTGTATCCAGTGTTTCACCTCCTGTAGTTTTAAGAACTCACACTGCATGGCAGTTGTGCTGGTTGTTTGGCTCTTTGTGCACTTTTATTGTGATGGATGTGACGTGCTTCTCTGCTAGCAACAGATGAGTAATCCCTAACAAAGCTCATGGGACTGTTAGGTCTTTTACAGAAGGAAAGGTGAGGGTATACAGAGCCCTTAAATGTAAAAGAGCCTTTCTGTTACCTGTGGGAAATACTCTTCCACCAGTCTGAATGTCACAGACCGCACAAACCATCTTCAAACAAAACCACTATTTTGCATTATACAAATTATTCGTGTCAGCAAATAGTCCTTACCGAACATCATCGATGTACAAGGTTTCACTGGCAAATTCAAGTATATCTGCTGCTGTTCCCACAAACATGAGAAGCAGCTGAGACAATTGATCCCGGGTGATTTCAACCCCGATGGGGAGAAGCCATCTCCCAACTACTAGGAGCAGCAGAAAAGTCTGGTGGAGGGCGAGTGTCCATACGGTCTCACAGATTGTGGAGAGCTGGTTCACAAAGACTTTAGCCTGTTTAAGAGACGACAACAATAACTCCTGTAACTTCAGGAGACTGACATTACAGGTACTTTCAGAGACTGTGTTCATCCTTGAGCCGTAAGGCACATCAATGCAAACTTTGCGTAATGAACGGAAAGACTTTCTCTGTGTACTACTACAGGTGTCACTTTTCAGCTGAGTGTTATCCTTCGCAGAACCATCGCTCTGACACTTTCTAAATTTGGAAGAGAACGGTAGGAGAGTCTCCTCTTCACAGAGAGGCTTGTCCTACCGACAATACTTAGTATGCAGCATGCCGTAGGCCACTTTCACAATACGGTTTTCTAAAGCAACACTATTATTTCTTTTTCTTTTTTTAAAGTTTTACTTACTGCGTGAGGAGCTTGCCCAAACAGACGTAACGGTCCTCTCTAATTGCTCTAATTTCATAAGATCCCTGCTAGGAATAGAAAAAGGTGTCTTACCGTCTGAATGATGTGGTGATCTGTTCCCTCAATTCCATGACTGCTGTCTCTGGATTGATTAAAGTCTTGGTTGCTGAAATTCACCTCAACAGCTCCAGGCTTATTACTGCAGTACTGTTGAGAAAAAAACCATCGCACGTGCGTAAAAATCCCACACTAGGACCAGATGCACTCTGTAGCTGAAAGGGTCGTGTTGTACTGAACTGCAGAGGGTTTAGTTGTGGAAGTCAGTCAATATTTAGAGGTACGTGCTCACTCTGAATGCAATTCCCCCCTTTTCAGAAAGGAGGAATTACTCTCATAAGGACAGGAGTGATGTGTTGGTAGGTCCTGGGGTAAAAGTAGGGCAAAAGTTGGTTACGGTCGGTCTCTATATTCAAAGTTGTTCTCAAAATATCTGCTTCTCATGTCTACTATCCAGAAAAAGTTCTCTAAAAATGCCTTTGTTTCATTCTTCTCTACGACTTGCCTCAAAGCTGAAATGAATAGAGCTGGGGTAGGATGTTTGGGTTGTTTTGTCTGCTGCCCCAACACCTCCCCACCCCCAGCAGGGCCGCCTTCTGCAAGAAAATTTATAATCTGAGAGGTGAGACTCAGCAATAATTAAGAAAAATGGTCCTGCAAAGAGAAAAAAAATATGTATTTTTACTTTCTCCAAGTACATAGTGCTCTGGGAAACTGAACGTTGGGTAACACATACTGTTAGTTGAACTGTAGTAAAGCAGTGTTGGGACTGCGTCCTCTCTGAGGTCTGCAGCACTGCACTGCCCTTCTACCTACCTTCACGCCCAAGGTTGGCCCCAGAACAACTGGGGTATGGTTCTAAAAAATCTATCTTCATAACAATCCCTTAGCATCTCTCTTCATCGTAATAAAAAAAGGGATAATTAGAAAATCAAACCATGCTGTTATTAAAGACTTTTATCCTCTCTTATTTTGCCAGAGAACACCAGATGATTTGCATTTCTCCACTGGGCCCCCCACCATTTTATTGCACAGGGAGTGATTTTCTGCAACAATCAGAATGTGTTCTAGTGCATACTGAGTAGCTGTGTTCAGCATAATGCCTGCCAATATAAAAGCAACATTTTCCAGCAAATGTCACATTTTCCAGCAAATTTCAGATTTCACTTTGATATTTTACTTGGTCTCTGATAATGTTGCTCGCTATCTGGGTAAATGCTGCCTCTTGACCTTGTAGATAAAAGGAGAAACTTCCTGTGGTCTGAAAAAATCTGGAAAAAAATAAAAGTCAGTGCTTGTTGTTTTTATAGTTGGTAGTAAAGGTTCTTAAACTGAATGCTTGCCTTATTTGGACAGTGGTGTGAGAGCACTGAAAGATGGACACACAGGTTTTGGGAAGGTATTTCCATTTAAAAGCGAGAAATCTAAAGTTCTGGACGTGGTACCAGTGAGGTGGGCTGGTGTGCTGCCCAGCTACAGCCTTGTGGGGCTCATCTCTCTGGGGTAGCCCTTCAGCTGAGGGAAGAAAGAACAGCTTGTTCAGAGGATGTTTCAGAAATGAAATTTAACTGGTGCTCCGGAGAAGCATTTTTATCTGTCGCCTTCAGAAAAATGTCGAAAGCCTGTGAAGACCAGCCCCCAACATCCAAGCCAGCCTTTCTGAGTCACCCCACAGGCAGTGTGACAGAGCTGGCCGAGGAGACCATGACATAAAAATGTAGTGTAACTGGCAAAACCACCCCAGAATAATACGTGAATATTTATACTGTAACAAGTAGCTTGGGTAGTGCAAAGGGGTTACTAAGGTGGGCTGGAGGAGGAAGGTAATTCACTCTCACAGTCTTTGGTTTGTCATCGAGTCTGCGTTTCAGCTCTCTCCTCTGCCCCCCTTGCCCAGTCTGCCAGGGGTAAGAGTAAGGGAGCTGTGAACTTGCGTTAAACTTCACATCGGAGTTTTGGGGATTGTTTTTTGTTTGTCTGTTTTTTAAAGCCCTGTTTCTTGAGGATGAATTTGACAAATTCCAGGAGGAGGCCATGCCTGTTGCATGTGCAAGGATGGTGGAAAACCCTCCCCCAAAGACTGTGGGAACTCCCAGCAAGTAAATCAGGTGGCTGAAGGACAGGACTGAAACAAGAGCCCGTTGCAGTAATACTGCAGCAATACAGATGCTGTGGCTCTCCCCATGCCAACTAGAGAGAGCAGACAGCTCTCACCGTGGGTTTGAGCAACCTCGGCTCAGGGCGGAGGAGCTGCAGCAGTCAGCAACTCGCCCGCCCCACGGGAGGCAGGTCCAGGAAAGCACGCCACAGCTTACACGTGCCTTGCAATGGGGCTCTTTTATTTTATTTTTTTTTTTTTCCTCCCTCCCTAGTGGCACTAAGATGCAGAGAATATTCTTTAAGATCAGCTCACTTTATCAGTGTCTTTTGTATGTTCTTAGTATGTAATTTTTGCAGGTAATCCCAGCTGAGTGAGGGGTTACTATTTCAGTGCAAGGCTCCCCAAACTGGGACTGAATGACACTCCTCATGGCCAGGTCCGTGGCTCTTCTCAACTGCACGCAGGCAAGAAATGGAAAACTGCATCTGTGAAGCCAGTCATTTAAGTGAGCTCCTGTTTTTTCATTTAGGTATGTTCGTACCTTGTTTGGGTTTGTTTCTCTCTGAATATCTATTAAGTGATGATTGTGGTGGTGATTCACTTGGAAGCTTGGAGAAGAGCCTTTCTTTTCATCATGTACATATGCATGTAAATAGGACTGTTGGTGCCAGGCGTACGTGCCTAACCAGTTATGTATGTGCAGTGACTTAACAGGAACGTGACAAGTCCTAAGTTTCACAGGCTGTCAATAAATGTGGTTTACCTCTTCACTGCTAGAGCCCAGTTCCTCCTAGATATCAAGACTGTGTGTGTAGCTAAGCAAAAACGCTGTGGAAAAAAATACTGTGCAAAAATAAATCAGGAAGAAACTGTACACATTTTGCATAAATTCCAGCTTGGTTTACTTCCTTTGTTTCTTGTGGGATGAAGCTTACGTTCCTCTGATTTATAAAAACATCTACTCAAATATTGGTGCATGTCATGGTGTTGTCCCACCGTGCAGCTGGCAGAGAGCTCGCTGTCAGTGCACGGGGAAGCATGGAACTTACTCAGCAAATTTCTGTTTGCATGTTATTCACAGTCCACTTTTCTCAAATAAAAATGAGGCTAGCTAAAACTTCTCATGATGGGTCCAGCACTGACGTGGTAAAATTGACACTTGAATACCAGGGCAGAGTACCCTCAATCCTGTTAACAGGCATGAAGGCTGGAAGCCTGAGTTCATGGTGGAAGAAAGAGGCTAGAGCTTCCCCAGAGCCGGCCCTCTGCCAAGCAACAGGTACCCAGCTTGCTCTCTCTGCGATTTGCTGGAAACACTGTGGCAATCACCATGGCAACAGGTGTGATGATGTCAGAAATTCAAAGCAACCACCGCTGCTTCGTTTTGCTCATACGGCAAAGCTGAAATGTAAAACAGGGGTAAAAGATTGCTGAAGCTGTTTTCCAAATTGAGGAAGATAACGGATGTGGGAGGGAAGGAACGGGGCAAGATCGGAGATCACTTTTAGGAGAGAATTTTAGCTGGCGGAAAGATCCCACATCAGAATGAGGCTGGGGGAATGGGCAGTAATATTCACTATTTCCTTAAAATTTTAAGTTAACGTGGTTAAAAATAATAATTACAGGGTTTGCCATCTGTCTTATTACTTACTGGGAAGCCTGCACTGACTACAGCACTGGTCGTCAGGTAAACCCTGCTAAAGGTGGTCAGTTATTGCTTTCTGTGGCAGGGATGCACCAGGCATTTGAAAAGGTAAAAAGGTTTATCCAAGATCTTTTACAATATTAAGAATGTTTGGGGATTTTAATGGATTAAATGGCTTTAATTTCCTTGCCACTCTGTTTCGCAGACAGCAATTTTTTTCGCTCAGTACAGTTCAATTTACTTTATAGTCTCTCCCAAACATGTATTTCATCCCCAAATACTTTACTGCAAAGCAGCAGTTTCTATGCAGTCAGTATTTCACTGCTGATGTCTGAATGGCATTACTTATGTCCAGTTCTGCAGCACTCAGGCAGAATTGCCTCTGTCTTCTGGAAGAGAGACTGCGTATTAGCACGCGCCTTAAATAACGGCATCAACACAAGCAGTTGATGTTTCCTGTTAAAGATTCAACGTGAGGAGCGAAATTCTACTGCTGTAAAGACTACAGGCAGTTTTCACGGTGTCGATCTTAAATGTGTGGATCTAGAAACTGCATAATTACCTATTCTGTTAGTATTTTAATAAGGAAAAAACCCAGCAATACTTCAGTAGGAGGAGTAGTACTACTCCGGGTGCTGCGTTTGCGATCGCTAGGAGGGCTGCTTCCCTTCTGGAGGTATTGGGTTTTAATCTATTAGATTGTGTGTTTCCAGAACTCTCTATCTTATCTCTCCAGGTATAAACTAAGCTGTTAACTTGATATACTCCCTCTTTAATTCACAGTAGCAGTATATCAATAAGAACAAAGTATGCCATGTTCTAACATCATTTTGGGAAATAAACTGCTGCCTTTGACTACAGAATTAGCCTGTTTCTTGGACCAGATTTAACTATGACAAATGTTCTCAATATCCACATTACCTGTCTGACTGTTTAAGGAGATTTGGCAAAACAAGAAGACAATAAATTCCTGCTGCTGTATTTAGAAAAAGCCTCAGGCATTTTCAGTGTAAACACAATTTTGAATATTTGATTATGCTTCTGTGGGCTCTAACAATATTTCGAAGGAGAAAATGAGGCCCTATGTCTTCTTAGTCTAATTTATGTATTATTTTTTTTCCCTGTTGCTTTTTGCTCTTGGTCCTATAGGGCCCTTTTCTGCTGTGGATATAAGGTACTGCATATGTGCAGATGCTGAGACAGATAAAATCCCCTTTTCAGTACGTGGAAAGTGCTGTGGGGACGTGAAAGCAGCCTGCACGGGGAGGTGGTTCACTCGATGTGGGCTGCTGGGCTAAGTGGCTCTGTCCTGGCTCTAACTGACTCCATCTGCCAAAAGAAAAATTGCCTTTAAAAATTTTACTGTGTGTTTTAGTCCTGAATTGGAACCCAGACACACACATACCCCCCTCCCAGATTACTATACAGCACGAACAAAGAAAGGACATAACCACTGACAAATTACCATGTCGGCTATCCGTGGTAGCAATCTGTGAGCATTCTCCTAGGTTGCAAGCACAAGGTAATTAGAGTTTAAGACCCCTTTCACTGATACCCATCTCAGTTTTGGTTTTCTTGGAGTTGTGATACCTGCTTGTAAGTGCTGTGAAACTCGTATTTAATTTTGCAAAGACCTCTCTAAAGCAATGGAATTCTTTCACCATCCTGAGTGAGATTCAAGCTGGTAACCTGGGGGTGAAAGGGTGTTTTTTAAACTTCTAGTCCTCGGTTCCCCAGCCAAATACAACTAAATGGTCTCATTTTAGCTAGGAATGAGGCTCATATTTGATACTGAGGAAATGCACCGTAGTCCATAGTATAGCTGGAGCAGGACTGGGAGACCCACCAGTATAAAACGGCAAACTGGAACAAGACCTGGCAGATCTCTGTCTGTATGCCCAAACCCAACCCATCAAACAATGCATCGATTTCAAACTAGTCCATCTTGTCTCATAATAAATACCTGAGTCCCATGATGAATTTCTAGTAGCCATAGTGATGGTACTGTGCAAATCAGATATAAAAATATTGCTGGTGAAAACCTGTGAAGGAAAAGAAAAGATAGCTTGGTATTATATCCCATCATAAACACCATATATCCTATCGTTATTTGCATTGAAAAATATCTTATGCCTCCTACCATATGGGATATTAAGAAATAGTGTAACTGCAAGAGTTGCTATTCTTGCTGAATTCCTTCTGCTGTTGGTATTGTGAATCATAGGTTTATTGGTACATCCATCTAAAAGCATACCTGGAAGTCTATTTAAAATCTGGGTTTTTTTTTTTTTTAAGAATGAAGCAAAGGCACTGTGTTTGTATTTCCATTGCAGCATTCATTCTCTGTGCTTTAAATAAATAAATAAATGACGCCGCTAGCTAATGTGCTTCTTCTGATTTCATGAAGGGCGAATTAATACATTCAGTCGTTTCACTGAATGATGCTGGGATAAAGGTTGTTGATGCTGGGATACAGGTTGTGCATTGACACAGGAAAGGTGGAAATAGCATCAGTTGGTCTAAAACAAGCATTTCTTCAGTAGGAGGTTTCTCAGTGCAGGCTAAAGTGGTTTATGAAAATGGGTCTTGGTCTTGTTTCCCCATTTGTGCTGAAAACTGTATAATTCTTTAGGATTTCTGTCTCTAGCTCTCTCCCTGCCAATCACCTCTATAACTTATGATGCTGAAGCTTTATTACCTTCAGCTTCTTGAGACGAGTTTATTCAGAACTACCAGGGATGTTTACTTACTCCTGCAAGCACTGATTCTTCTGAAGGCTGTTGATGTTTTCCTATTAAACACATGACGGTTTTATTTGGGTGAGGAGGGGTTTTTTTTGGCATTTCTTATCCTTTTGGAGTAGGAATGAGGTCTGATGCCACTAATGTTCCATCTAGCTGTGCCGTAGTGTGGAGTGAGCATCGCTGCAGTGCTGCTGAGATGCATCACAACCTCTGCATCACACGTGCGCTGGCCCAGGACAGGGCACTGGAGTCAGACTCGGGATGCTTGATTGCTTGATTCCTTCTGTCTTGTCATTAGCACATTCTGCAGTGATTTTTAAATTGTTTATAAGTATGTAACTGCAGAAATGTTTTTGGTCAATAGTTTTTTGCATTTATTTTTGTTTGTTCCTATCCGGAATGTACCTTTTATTTTTGTAATCATGACTTTTCCAGTGAAGACTAAGTATGGAGGAAAAGGAAAAACCCTTATTGCTCAGGTAACTGAAGGGGTTGCTGAGCTGCTATGAGATGTTTCAATCAACCTCCTCTAAATAAGATAGTCCTGGGTCTTTTGGTTTGGTTGTTCGGGTTTGTTTGTTTGTTGGGGTTTTTTTTCAGGGTGAAGTGGTGGTTTTGTTTTGGCGGTGGCATTTTGTAAAAAAAAAAAAAAAAAAAAAAAGTGATTCTGTGGGGTTTTAGCCTGATTATTTCGGGAGAGAACACACCTCTCATTTGAATGGGAGAACTAATGTATTTTACAGTATTTCCTGTAGGACTTGAGCACATAAAAAATCCATCCAGCTGGCAGGTTAGCAGTACTGAGCTAATGATACCAGATCAGGCCAGGAGACTTCAGGGGCTTTATTAACCCTGCCTTTTCTTTCAGAAGAAGCAATCTAGAGGAAATATTACATGGCCAGGCCCACATGCCATTTAACTTTTTTTTTTTTTTGTCCTGGTGTAAAAAGTAAGAGTCTTCTGACAAAAATTAATGGAGAGAATCTGAGGCTCTTGGAGGCAGGAGAGTCCTGTGGCAGGGATTGCCCCTTGCCTGGACCAGTGATTGTCGGTGAGGCATGTCTCTAAAAGCAGATGATGCCGCCTGTTCTGAATGTGAGTGTTTTCCACCAGAGCAGAAAGTTATCCTGACGCAAATAGATGCTGGCCATTTGCCTACTGTTCTTACCTATAAACGTATTTCACTGTGCTGCTTAAAGTGCGGGAGCTTTTTCAAAATTTCCTTTTAGTTATATTTAGCCCAGTCTTTCAGCACGTATATTCATCTAAAATGAATCTGCTTTCTGTATCTGTTTTTCTTTAGATTTTTTCCAAAAGCTGCCATAGCAAGTGTTCCTTCACGAAATCTCTTCTGCTGCCTCCTCTCTCCTGCTCACTCTGCCTCCGTCTCGTAACTGTGCGTTTGGAGCTCTGCTGTTGTTAATTTTTTCCTGTGTCCCAGACTTTATCACTGCTTTTATTACATTCAAATTTAGAGCGTGGAACACTTCCCTGAATTGTCATGCAACGCTGCTTCTGTTATAATGAGATTCACAGGTTGCAATGGGCAGGAATTTAAGATCACTGAAATACTTTAGAGCTTTTTTCATCCTGGTTTTGTCTGGGAGCCTGCCTGTAGTTTCAGTTTTGGGGTTTTTTTGTTGTTTTTTTTTTTTTTTCTTAATGTCCTAATGAAATCCTGACAATTAGTTACATGACCACTTCCTTTCTACCGAGCATTTGTTTTGGCTGGCTGTGTGCTGATGAGCTGTAGATGACTGTAGTAATTCTTCAGATGCTTGTAAAAACCCATGTGCTTGGGCAAACTCTGCTATGATTTTTTTTTTTTTTTTTTTTTTTAATGTTCATTTCTCAGGCAGCCTTTCATGCATGAACGTTCCCCTCTGGAATAGCCTCTCAAATTCAAAGCCAAATATTTAAGCCGCCCTTGCTGCACTGTTAAGAGCGGTTGCTGCTCATCTTTTATTTGTCCCTGAGTTTTGGTTCGGGCACCGGCGTGGCGTTCGCAGGGCCAGGGAATGGTTCCCAGGGAAGATGCGAACCGTGGCAGGATGGGTAAGAGGTGCAGGGCATCACCATGGAAGAGCCTGGGTGGGCCCCCAGCGCCTTTCTCCACCTCACACGTGTGGTCCCTGACACGATGTCGCTCAGGAGGTGACACTGGCGTGGTGGTGGTGGGGGAGTGTGTGCCCCCGCTTCCCCGGCCCCCTGTGTCGGCACCCTAGAGCATGACGTACCTCTCTCCTGCAGCCACATTTCCCACATTTTAATTTTTTATTTTGGATACACACCCAGAGATTGGCTCCCAAGCACCCAGCTGCAAAACTGCCCCTCGTGAATCCCTCTGCGCTTGGCGATGGACTTGCCAAGGCTTTACCAGTTGTGTGTGTCCCCCCCCAGCCCTGCCACCCCCAGGTGCTGCAGAGGAGAAAAGGCAGAAAGCTTTGGCAGGAACCCGGGGCACAGCCGCAGAAAGCACCTCGCATCTGCTCCAAGGGACATGCAAAGCAGCGAGAGGGGCTGGGTGGGCTCCGGGAGGGGAGGGGGGGGGTTATGCTCACCATTTGTAGCCTCGGCCTTGCTTAAACTTGAGGGTGAGCCCCGTCTCCAGGCACAGAAGAAGATTGAGCAGTGCCAGCAGCCAGTACTTGGGTTCTTTCTTCACGGCCGTCACTCTCCAGACGCCGATGAGCGAGTGCAGCACAAAGAGCAGGCGGGTGACCAGGGCATTGAGCAGCACCATCGGCTCCATCCCGGCCCCCCCGCCGGCACCCGCCGCCTTTCAGGAGCCCCGGGCCGCTGCCCCCGGAGCCCCCGGGCCGCGGGAGCTCCACAGCCACGCTGCTCTCCTCTCCTCTTCCATCTCCACAAAGGGGCCCATTATAACAAAAAAGAAACAGCATTGCCCCTCCCCCAGACTTCCTGAAAACTTTTTAAAGGGAAGAGAGAGGAGGAAAAAAAAAAAAAAAAA